AAGGAAACCAGATTATTCCCAAAGTTGTTGCTGCTGCTGCTTGCTGCTGCTGCTGCCTGCTCGCTGTTCGGTTACTGCAGGATCAAACGCTCCGCACCAGATTTCAAAAAATAATCTCTGTGGAAAAAAAGAATCCCAGGCTGCTGGAGCAGACGGCAGACTGCTCCGTGTTGCCTTCACGTCCCCCAGCGCTGAGCGCGGCTCCACAGCAGAGGCGGAATCAGAGGTCTGGACTGACTTCAGCGCGACGACGCTCCACGGCAATTACCGAGCTGCAGCGGCGCTCAGGCGGCGCACTGACAGCGGCTCTGCGCCTGCACTGGTCAGGGCGACGCTGCCACCTGGCGGCCACTGATAAACACTGCACCCAAAATTAAATACATGAAAATAAACTTGAGACCTACGGAAGCGTACTGCGTTTACTTGAAAAAAAAAAAATCCAGTTTTTCTGAATTAATTCAGAAAACTGAGTATTTTTATTTTATTTATTTATTTTTTAGAGAAAAGTTTAGTGGAGTAGCTATTTTCACAGCATGGTGGCTACAGGAACGTAATGCATTCACTTAGGGAAAAAAGATTTGCTGTTTTTCTGAATTAACGACATAATTATCTCGTTAATTCAGAGAAATAAGATTTTTTTAAAACTTTTCTCTAAAAAATAAATAAATAAAATAAAAATACTCAGTTTTCTGAATTAATTCAGAAAAACTGGATTTTTTTTTTTCAAGTAAACGCAGTACGCTTCCGTAGGTCTCAAGTTTATTTTCATGTATTTAATTTTGGGTGCAGTGTTTATCAGTGGCCGCCAGGTGGCAGCGTCGCCCTGACCAGTGCAGGCGCAGAGCCGCTGTCAGTGCGCCGCCTGAGCGCCGCTGCAGCTCGGTAATTGCCGTGGAGCGTCGTCGCGCTGAAGTCAGTCCAGACCTCTGATTCCGCCTCTGCTGTGGAGCCGCGCTCAGCGCTGGGGGACGTGAAGGCAACACGGGAGCAGTCTGCCGTCTGCTCCAGCAGCCTGGGATTCTTTTTTTCCACAGAGATTATTTTTTGAAATCTGGTGCGGAGCGTTTGATCCTGCAGTAACCGAACCAGCGAGCAGCAGCAGCAGCAGCAGCAGCAGCAGCAACAACTTGGGGGATAATTGTTTCTTTACGCGTTGCTTCCAATCAATAACGTTCAAGTTTCAAGTTCAAATCGCTCGGATGCTGTTTGAGGAAAAGACAGAAGAACCGGCGCGGCACCAGGTGATGTCCGGATTATTATCTACTTGAACGACCTTGGGTTATTTCTTCTGTGACCGGATTATTTGTATTTTATTTTTTTTGGTGGAATGGAGAGGAACCTGAACCTGACGCTGTTGCCACACTCTGTTAAAAGTATGTACAGCTCTGCAGAACCACAGTTCATTCCGTTGACATGTTTATTTTAATTTCAGGTTTGCAGAGATTTCCACGGAGTTTGTATAAAAGCTTCCACACCGTGTTGTTCAAATAAATCAGTTATCAGGTTTAATCCAAATCCCGTGCGACTGTCTGACAGCTCGTGGATGCTTTCACAGTTTGCTCCACATTAACATTAAGACACATTTGCCAGCATTTAAGCTCATTACCATAATATCAGATCCGGGAGAGGATTTTGCGACAGTCCAGATTGGTGCGTGGACGTGTGGACCTCCAGTGTTGTTGTACTCTCAGGGAGACTCCCCGCTCCGCATAAATCATTCATGGCCTGCCTGTTGTGTGGACTACAGCATGCAGCTTTCTGAATGAAGCACATGTTTCCTGTGTGCCAGGGCCTGTAGTCCAGGAGAAGGAGCTGTCACTGTGAATCAGGCTGCGAGGCTCGGTTAGTGGAACAGATGGGAGACACAGGCTTACAACAAAACAGCATCAGTGCACTCAAGCTAGACACAGACGTCCCAATGACACGCTATACAAAATAGGCCGAGGGATTGAGTCATAAAACACTCTGAGGCAGAGGAGGGGGGTGGTGAGTAACACATTAGATGTGCAGAGGAGGGGAGTGTGTTTAAAAATGAGCCCTCAGAGGTGAGCCACGTCGAGGCCTTGACCTCAAGCCGGCCACTGGAGCCGGGGTCACGTAGCTACTATGAAAATCCTTTCCTTGTTCCTGCCGTCTGGTGTTTTTTAGGCTGTCTCTGATGAAGATAAATCACTGAAATCCTCCCTCTTCCCCTGTCTCTTTCCACTCTCTTTCTCTTTACAGTTGTGGAAGGGATGAGCTCTAGTCAGCAAGGGAGCAGGACCGACTGTTTCAACACAGCCAGACCCACACAGGGATGGGCCTCCTAGCTGTTTGCCCTCCAGCGCCCTTGAAATCGCCACCCTCTACTCTGTAATACCCACCCACCCCCCACCCCCCCTTGATCGTCCCACATGTTGGCACTCAGACAGTGGGAGTGGACAACAGGAGCACAAAGGTGACTGCAGCAGAAAGGGGTTGTTCCTGGGACGTACTGACCCAGATGAAAACATTGATGTATGAGTTACAAGTTTAACCAAAGACTCTCGCACCTTACGGCCACCACACACCTCCCACCCTAAAGTAAATCAATGCTATATCGTCCAGAGTATGGGGTGCGTCAAATCCAAGAGGAGCGACTCTGCAGCCCAAAATGCAAACTCCACAGAGAAGGCAGAATGCATATCCAGGGGGACGAAGGGCGAGAAGGCCTACTTGGTTCACTCAGAGATGGGGTCGACGGCAGAGAGCTCTTCCCAGGTCAACCCAGTGCTGCTGGAGTACGCCCAGAGGCTCTCCGAGGAGATTGTGGCCCGGGCCGTGCAGCAGTGGGTGGAGGTAGACCGCCGCTACAGTGACATCCCCTACATTGAATGCGATGTGCCGTGACACGGGAAGGTGTGTCCGAGCGGGGAGGCCAGGCCGAGCTGAGACTGTTTGACACCGATACTGGAGGATCTACATGTGAAACAAGGTCAACAGTCGAACACATTTGTTGAGGATGAGTCATTCGGGTGTCTACCTGCTGTGAGCAGGAATATGAATGAGACGTCAGTAATTCAGTTTTGACCTCTTTTTAGATTGGATTATACTTGGCTGAGCCTAAAAACCCTCCTCCAAAGCAGCCTGATCCTGCCCATGTTTCTGTGATTATCTGTCTCAAAGCTGGAGCCGTACTCAGGCAGAGCGTCTTCAGTTGGATATCATCTTTCTCAGACCTTATTTGTCCCCTCGCTCCCAGTAGGTGTTGGCTCTCCCTGGCTGGACTTATAATGCAAAGCAAGAAATCCTATCAGATATTGCTTGGAATCATAATGTTCCTCTGTGCCAGTGAAAGTCTATCCTGTCCATTGATGCTGTCCGGGGGCCAAGGCTCTCTCCTCTTACGGAGGAAGTTATTAATAGATCCCATCATTTGGTGAAGGCTCTTGTTTGAAAAACCTCCACTGGTCTCACCAGGTCAGAGACACACCCAACTGTCCGGCTCCTTCTGGTCTGACAAAAGGCCCCCGCAGGCTGAAGTTCTCCCGTAATGGCTTCCCTGGAGATCCTGTGGCAGAGCTGCAACGAGGAGCAGCATCCGCGGCTCTGTTTACCCCGTCGCCATTAGGCAGCCTCGACCACAGCCATCCACCCAGCAGGTGTGGTCCTCAAAATGGGTCCAGGAAATTATGTGTACAATTGATGTATTTCCTGCACTCCGGGGGTTGCAGTATAAGAACTTTAGGACTCGGAGCCAAACAGAAACCAAGACATGAGGATTTGACTCGTCCACAGAACTGATGTTTAAAAAGAAAAACAAAACAAAAAAACTCTTGTGTTTTGGCTAAAATGTTGTAGGCCTAGTTTTCTGTCAACATTGTGTCATTGTACAATGCCTAAATGAGAAATACTGCCAATCTGCCCCACAGAGGACAACAGCACAAATATGCAAACCTCGAAAACCCATGACAGTTCAGTCCAGTATATACAGTATATATTTGGCTTCTCAAATTAGCGTGGTGCAACAAAATTTACCAGGGGACAGTAGATGTATTTGGAATAGAGGTTCACAACTGCCAAAGTCCTTAATGAGTGTTCCTATGAGCCCAACATAGCGAAGGAGGCTTGTGTGAGTTATTTCAGACAGTATGACTTATATCAGAGGGGACATGATAAAGGTCTGGTCTTTGCTCACTGGACAGAGGGACAGTGCAGCTACAGGCCGAAACCTTGGAAGTGAAACCCTGCAGATTTGTAAACAGGTACTCTGAGCAACATTCACTTTACTAGAGAAACTGCTAAGAGGACACTTAAACTGCCACCCAACTGTTTGCAGTGATAACAGCTTTGAATAGTGTTGTTGTCTGTAGAGATCAGCCATAACAGGAGGGACTGTCAGAATACGCCAACACAAGCTAATAAGCCATAAAAACAGTGGCAGGTAATTGTCACCACTTGCCTTCTCCCCAGGTCTTCTCTGATACCAGTGACAGTGTTTCTGCACCAATAACTTACAGTAAAATACAGGTGTTAGTCACATTGTGTTGGTAAATGGAATCAACACAGAGGCTGTTTCAGTCAGAAAGTTAAAGCCACAGTTTTACCGGCTGTGTTGTTTATGTGAGCTGGGTGATGATTAAAAACATAATGGTGTGCTATAAACATCTCCCCAGACCTACCACTTCAAAAAGTGAACAAATAAAATCTAACTTGCACTAATCTGTACGGACAGATTCATTCTTTGGCTTTTCCCAAACATGTTGTGAAAACACTAAAGATTAGAGATGACTCCACATGCCGTATTACTAATTCTTAATCTGATGCCATTTGTTTTGACTAGTGTCACTGTTGTGCTGACAGCTATTTCTGTCAATGTCGGGATCTAAACAAAAACTTTGGTTTCAATAGCACAAGAAAGAGCCGATGGCAGTGTGAAGACAATGTTTGGTCAGTTCATTTATTTCACATGTTTAAATTAATTAAATTTAAAGTATTGACTCCAAACCAGGTGATGGCAATCAATTTCTGAGGCTGCAGTACATTAAAGATGTTGCCATAACGCTGATGTCAGGCTTTACTGTTCAAAGTGTTGCATTACCAGTGTGTTGTCACCACTGAGAAGACTACTTTTTACAAACTGTGGTGTCATCTGTGTTTACAAACTCACAAAGGTCAGGGTTTTAACTCTGATGGGGTCTTGTGGTTGTTCAGACAGCCAGGCAGAGAGACTGTATCTACACTGCAAAGAGTGTAAAACCAGACCCAGCGTGAACGCCTGTCTTCATTCAAACATCCGTCTTCCAGCTGATCGACGCTGACCAAAAGGCTGCCAATGCTTCCTTTTGAAAACTGATTTGTAGTTCCAAAGGTCACTCATTTTAAAGTATTGATACCAGCAGGTGTTTGGACGGAGAACGGAGACGCTGCTGCTGTACAGGCCAGACTCAACACACACACTTTTCTGCAGGAGACATTCATCAGGAACAGGTTTCCTGAGGTCAGGTCTGAGGGGTTGTTGTACCCTGAGGTATGGTTTACATTAGGAATGCAACTAAAAATTATTTTTATTATCAACTAAGCTGTTGATTATTTTCTTGATTTAAATTTGTAAAAAAAAAAGAAAAAAAAAAAAAATGCCTGTTAAAATTTGCCACAGCCCAATGTGATCTCTTCTGATTATTTGCTTTATATACTCTGATCAAGTCCTGGAACCAGCAAATGTTAAAACACTGAATCAAAACAGTTACTGATTAATTTTATGATCTAATCAAATAACGGTTACAGCCCTGGTTTAAATGTGTTGCTTTAGAGTGACAAGACTGACAGTGGAAGCTGCTTGTCCTACAAATCTGAAGCTGCTTGGTGAAGTCGAGAGAGCAAATGAGCCCGGTTTAACTTCAAATCTTCAGTCACAAGAACAACTATTCTTTCATTTGTTCAACGTCTCGATTGACTTGTGTAAGAGCGGACATTAGCCCACCAGCCTGACCTGATCCAATAATGCACTACCTACCTACAGGTGACTCTGAGCACAGGTGTGATATACAGGTGGTTCCAGGGTTCTGACTCCTGTACCCACAATGCCTCTGATGTAGCTGTTTTACTACAGCTGAAGAGGCCAATAGAAGAAGCAGCCGTCAGCAGGCGGTCGGACTGAACCACAGTTGAGATGACTTGACCATAAGTAGCCTGATGAATGGCGACAGAATCCACCCACACTGTGTCCACGATTCATCTGCTCTCGAATAAATGAAAAATAACCTTGAAGCAGCAGCTCAGTGCGATGCCACACGTCGGCCTGTGAATATATGGTCATAAAATAACTTAAAATGAGTGACTGTGCATTTTCCTGCAGTACAATATTCATTTAACTTGCAAACCTAAGTGTAAAAGCTGATGATGCCAATAAATCAAATTCATGCCTTCTATTGTTACTGAAATATTTCATCATTGCTTTCTACATCACAATGTCAGAGCAAAGTCTTGGGTTTTGAAATTGTGCACACAGGGGTTTTATAACATCCTGTCGCAACAATATTTGTTTAAAATATCTGTTAAACAAGACACGGATGTGCAGCATCCTGTATGACAGTGAACACACGAGGTTAAAAGTTCAGCAGCACTAAAGGACAAACAAAAGGATTTGGAAACAACTGTCGGCCTGAAGCTTGTTTGAAGAGCAAACGGTCGCCATAAAGCATCGGGGTTTATCTGTGACGCAGAGAAACGCTCAGACTGTGTCCTCGGTGTTTATGGCAGTTTATTGTCTACGTGTGTGGAGGTCGTCCTGTCCGCTCTGGAGTCAGCGCCGTGGCAGAATGAGAGACCTTTAGACTGCGATGGACAGGGCCGCTGGTGCTTGGTGAATATGACACACAGACTATAAGAGGCTACTATTGAACTATATGAAACTACTACATTACTACTACATTCAAGCTATGTTCAGTATGGGAGTCTTGAGTTATACTAAGTGGTTCTCTGACTATTTTACTGCTCAAATAAAATATGAAAGACTTCCTGATTGGTTTGCAACCCAACATGTTATTAAAGTGGCTGTGTTTACTTTCTGGACTTTGTACCTGAGCAGCAGCTTAGTGCTTTCATGCTGATAACTAAGAGCCTTTATAAAGACAGGTTATATTTGTTTTACAAGAACACTTTAGGAGGTCATAAAAAAATACTGCCTTCAATAACTAGTTTTTGTAAACACAAGATGTACAAGCAGTTTCCTTCACTCACGAATAACACACAACATCTTACATTACAGTACCAACTCTGTTTATTGCCATCTCCTCCAGTACCACTGTCTGATCTGACTCTGGTCTGGTTGGCTCATAAATAATGCAGCTAATGAAAACTAATGTTTGGGAGGTGATTTGACTCGTACTAAAAAGAAAAAGAAAAGTGTCTCTCAGAAGGTCTTTGTTACATAAAAACACACTATATCACACACATTTCAGACTGCTGAAACCACAACCATAACAGACACATAAATGCATTCAGAACAAGTACTGATGTAATGTACCACCTGTCCCGGGAGTGTTATTTGACTATGTCAGAGAATAGAAAGAAAATACTGGAGAACTAGTGAAACAGAGACAATAAGTTATATGTATTAGAACAACTGACCACGCTGCAGAAATACAGATGATGCTGAGCCATGTCACAACAACAAACGCCCACAGGAAATGGAATAATGCACTCAATGGTGAGATCATTTTTTTTTCTTCTCATGTGCTCGCTGCCGTTCGCCTCCTTGAATTTGCAGCAGAAGAGTTACCACCCCACAGCTCGTGTAGAAAAGACTCCACTTCCATTTGCAGAGCAAGTTTACACTGAGCATTTTTTATGTGTGACACACAGGGTGTCTGTTGGCTATCTCGTCCAACATTATTTTCAATGCCTGGCTGTGAAACCTTCTCCTCAGCTGCAGAACAGCAGCCTGTACAAGTCTGAATATTCCTGTTAAATGTCACCAGAGGAAGAGAAAAAGTTCTACGGTATGAAATGGCACAGATTCAAACCATAAACGCATATGACCTATGTATGTACTTGTCAGAAAACAACAGAAGCTCTCCCACCCTCAGCAGTACAGTCCTCTCAAATGACCATACAGGGATGTGGGGACAGGAAGCGTTCCGTTTACAGAAGGCTTAGTGGTGTGTGTTTGAAGGTGGGAAACAGCTGCTGGGTGACGGGCCTTCAGAAAGTCAGATCCTTCTCTCCCAGTGAGGAGAAGCACTGGTCCACGCTCTGCTCCGACACCTCCTCCAGTGTTGACGGGTTCCATGTGGGATTCTGGTCCCTGTCAACCAGAACTGGAAACACACAGAACATCATGACATAGAGATGCGACTCCAGCTTCAGCTAAGAGGAGCAATGACTAATAAATAACCTTTCTTAACCTTTACTGGCAACCAAAATAAAAAATCTCTACTACACCTGACAGTTAAACACACAGTGTGTAGATACTGTGTGTTATGGTCATTTTGTACTATAAGGCAGAAAGCTACTATTTGCTGATCGTTGTACTTTAGTTCTTTATAGTTCTCTGTTGAATCCATATTATTTATGATACATTCAACACATTCAACATCCAACCTACTCCGCCTTTGTCGCCCACATGCCGCAGTGACTTACCGGCTCTTACACCCTCATAGAAGTCGCCGCCCCTCTGCAACACAACAGGAACAATCCCATCAGACGACAGAGTTTTAGATTTTACTGTGGTAGATGATAAAGAGGAGCTCTACCTGGCATTCTAACATGCAATTATGATCACTACGGGAGAGAAAAGTATGAAAATGAAGCTCATGATATTGATCGATTGTTTATTGGTTGAGACTCCAGTAAGAGTAAGTTGTTGTTTTTACCATGCAGGCCTGGCTCAGTCGATACTCCATCACCAACACGTCCTGCAGGCTCAGAGAGGCACCCGCCTGCAGCTGCTTATAGGTGATCTTCAGGGATGTGGGAGACATTTTGGACAATGTCTGGAGGAGGAGACACGTTTAAGAGACGGCTGAAAGACTGGGATGGATGGCTTTATTTGCTTTTGGGTTATTTAGCTGCAAAACATCATGTAAAAAAACATTCTGCATTTTTAATATAGAAGGCACGACGGTGAGTCTGTGGTGTTGTAGTAACTGAGGAAGTGGGTTTATGATAAATATTTGATGTTGAATATTTTCATGTTGTGAAAGGATACTGGAAATGGAATATTTGTTGAGCTTTAAAAGAGTTATTAAATATAAACTATATTCCAAGCCTTACAAATGAAATAATAAACAATTATCAGTCAAAGGAAGCTCATGTTAACAGCTGCCCAGTGGAACAATATCTTAAGTCCTGTAGTGAACTCTGAGCGATCAGCAGAGGGACAATAAGGAGCGGGGTGGGGTCGGTGAGGGAGGGGCCGTGTAAGAGACACTGTTTCATATTGACATTCATTAGGAACATCCTGCTGTGAATGAGGTGAAAAACTAAATTGGAGAGGAGTCCTATCCGTGAAAAGAGTAGGTTAATGGAATGAAGCCACTGTGGTCTGAAATCTCTCGGAAGGGATTCTGGTGCAGCCAAGACTAATACTAACCCCATTAAGTGCTTAGGCTGAGGTAACTACTAATTACTAACATATACTGCCAAAGCCAAATAATGCCCTGGCTCCGTTCCAGCTGTCAGTGGGAGTTGTCTGATGCTGGGAACGTATCTCCACAGAGGTACAGCAGTCCTTCAGCGGTCCTTTAAAATAGTCTGTATAACCACAATCGACGTGTCCGCGTGTTCAAGAAGACAGATGATAGATACGTTATCATCACGCCTCTGTATTGTACTTGGAGAATAGAGTTATTATGTCGGTGATTCTGATTAAGCAGCAGGGTCAAGATCATACCTCAGCCTGTTTCTTAGCAAACTCTGAGCCGTCTGCCTTCAGGTTCTGCATTATTCCCTCCACACTGACAGAGCTGAAAAGCCTGAGGGGAGGGGAAATACCAACATGGATTCAGGTTTTCAGCAGGGTTTTACCTCAATTTACCATCAACTTAACTGAAAAGAAAAGGTGGGTTTTTCTAAACTTTCACTGTCTACTGTGATGCTGTTGAATCCAAATTGTGATCGTCAAAAACCAACAATCATTTCATCCCACTAACAAGTCCTTGAATTAAAAGCTGTGGGTGATATCCAAAATTTAATATTTCGATTCAGTCCAGTCCAAAAACCGCAATATACAATATTATCACAGGTTTATTTAATAATATAATTAGATTATTGTATATTATGTTTCAGGTATAAATACTGCTGCCACTGAACAGCAGTTTAAAGTTTTATTTGTCACATGCCAAGGCACAGTGTACAGTAAGCAAAGCACATATTATGAAAAATATTGCATATGGCGGGAACTGTGGTGATATCCGATATCACTGAACAGACGCCCCAGGACTACTGTCAAGCTACAGCACCAAACCCACAGCTGAAAACAGTGACCTACAAAAACTATTTACTGTTTCTCCTTTTGAGTAACATCTGCCAAAAAAACAGTGTCCTGCTGT